GGGATGCTGGTACTAGTAGAGCACATGTTACCATGTGTGGGGGATTGCTAATGGAGCATGATTCCGGGGTGGAAGAGGTCAGGTTGGCTTATCTCTGCCTCCAGGTCTGTCCGGCATCCCGCCAAGCTCACTGACATTACTGGTTTCTATGAGCTGAGTGGGACGCTCTGGCTAGGGTGTCACAGGTTGCTATGAGCTCTTAGCTATGCCGCTTTGGCAGGAACACCTGCTGCCCCCTCCATGTGACCTTAAGAGATGCCGCCTGATGCAACCAGCTCAGGCTACCTCATTATAGGGATGGCCCTGAGTATATCTAAAGCCAAATTTTTTTTTTTATAAAGTGAGAGGAAAGCAAGGTAAATCCCTATTTTAGACAGTTTTCACCAGAATAAGTGCCCCCATTTACAGAAATCCACTCCATTCCCGTTCTAGTTAGAAGTTAAAATGTTAGATTTTCCCTCACTTTCAGTCCCAGTGATGGTAGTCAACAGGACAAATAGAGAGAGTGAATTTCCTAACATGGACAAAGACAGGAAAAAAAATGTTACAGGGACACTAAACCCTCATCACCCGCCATCAAAAAATGCTTCGGCTTTAGATACACTTTAGGGTGTGGTTTAAAGCACCTAAGGCACAAGTAGAGATCCATGTACCGTATTTTTCAGTGCAACTATTTTTGCAAATGTATTTTTTTACAGTATAGCTTATTTACAGTTTTAAAAAGGGATAACCTTCATAGTGATTAAATATACCATATGTAAAGCACACTGGACATGTATCACATCTGTTTGTATGCATGCAGATGCTTGAAACAAATCAAATTTACAATAACATGGCTGAAATAAAAATCCTCACCTTTGTGCTAAAGCTTTGAGAATGTATCGAATATGTTTTGCTTTATAACTAAATAAACTGTATCACTGGCCTAGGGCTATGCTTAGACATCAGGAGTCATGCTAGTTCACTGAGGGGTCAGTACAAACGTAGCAGTCTATATACCCACATCTAATAAGATCTTACTGTAATCCTGCTATAGTATTTTCAAAGGCTTTTAGATATATATATAACACTATATTTACTACTTTTTTTTATC